ATGCCTAGTAGGAAATGTTTGTATTGTTGCAGCAAACCAGACGCCAAGAAATGAAAAACAGCACTCAGAGAGATTAGGAGAACTGTTTATTACACTGCAAGCATGGAGGAGTTAACACTGAATCTCTGACCCTGAGAGATGGAGACCATCTTTTATGGGGTAATTGGGGAGGGGAGATCTGGGGATGTTAGGATTGTACTATTGAAGAAGGGGTTCAGATCTGTCCTAATATGGAAGGGGCCAAGAAGCAAGAAGAAGAGGGAAGTCTGTCCTGCTCAGGGTTTCAGGTTATCCTGTAGCTCTGGGGCAGTAAGCTTGCCAGAGGGCAAAAATCTTAGGCAGCTATCAGCCCTGAGTTATTCATGAATTCAGGGTCTCTCCATATCAGTATCAGAAGAACACTGCCCACATGAACGAATCAATATTGTGTCTCATGGGCAGGGGTGAGTTCTCACTGTCCCAGGAAGGAGTTAGTTCCTTTGAGTGTAGGTTGTTATGAAAGTAATATGACTGCCCCCAGTGTTTACTTGCTCTCACTATCTGCATGTGCCCATTGACATTTCCTTTTTTTCTCACCATGTCGTGATGCAACAAAGGTTATAATGCTGGACATCCATATGAACTATTCAGCCACCAGAATCATAAGCCAAATAAAGATCTATTCTTTATAAATCTCTCAGACTCAGGTATATCTCTTTGACAACACAGCAAAGGACTAAAACAATGTGCCAGCAAGGGTCAGCTGATGTTTCAGAATTCAAGGTGTTAATTAGCACAGCACCTCAGGTGATTGTCAATGGAAATAACCAACTCTGTAGAAATAATAGTTAATGTGGTTTATTTCTAAACACAAATATGAGTGTCCAACCCAGAGAAAGGCAAGTGTGACTTTCTCAGGGTGCTCAGATATGGGGACTCCTTTTATTTCACTTTGAGAGTGAGAAACAAAGTTTGGAATTTAGTGAAGGGTCTTTCCATTGCTTGGGCCCAAAAAGGCAAGATATCTGGAAGCTGGGGCTTGTAGGTTATAGGTGGGTTTTACAATTTTTAGATTGGTGATTTGAAAAGAAAGACCTGCCAAGATCAGCAAATGAATGTACTTTAACAGAGATAAGGAGGCTTAACATACATCACAAAGATATTATTCCAGGGACAGGAAGTAGGAAGAGCCCTGTTATCAATGGACCAAAATGATCTGTTAATGTTCGTGGGTGTGAGTCCCTCCAGGCTCTCTGGAAGGATTTCGTTAATAGGAAAACACACACTTTTGTCCTCAATAACTTATGCCCTATTTTCACTTAAAATCAATAAACTTGTTCTGAAGAAGAGACTATTTATTGTGGAAATGTATAATTAAATGTAAAAAGGAACAAAGAAAGAAGAAAGAGAGAAAGAAAGGAAGAGAAAGAAAAAGAAAAAACCTTATTTGAGGGGGAGGAGATGTGTGAGAAAAATATGACTGTCTTTTAACTGATCAACCCGCTCTTAGTAATGTAAAACAAGATGGAACCTTTGTTACTACAACTAAGGTTTAGAAAGGAATGTGCAAAAGAGAGGTAGGCTGCATTAGCCCAAATGTGGTGGGTGTGACCATCTTATGCTAAAGAGACTTAGGGAATTGGTAAAACTCCTTATTATATTTACCAAATTTCTTTGCATTGAAATCCTTACTTTCTAAACTTATCCAATTTATTTTGTGTAATGAAATGAAGAAAATCATATTCTCCAAAATTCCTCTTAGGGAGACTTTGTATTTATTCAAAAGAAATTACTTTCTTTGGAGTACGAGACCCTAAGGAAATGCTCAAGTAACACAATACAGCAATTAAATTGTTCTGCCTAATAAAGGGATAAAGAATTTTAACAAGGGAGTGTCTTGGAAATGGAGAAAGGGGCCAGTGAGCACGAAGTTAGTGGGGATTGGGAGGAAGTGAGAGAAAGGAGAGAGAACTCCTATTGACTGAGGGCAGAGAGGCAATTTAGAAAAAGATTAGAAATGCCTAATTGGGGTAGGGTGGTGTGTGCGGGTGTAGGTTGTTTGAGCATGCAATGTAAGCCACTTCCTCTGTTTTTCCTAAGAGATCTTTAAGGATGCCATTTTCATTGTTCACTTGGGGTTTTACGGATTATTTTGCCAACCTGAAGAGTTGCTGAGTTCTGTGTTCAGGTTAGTACAGGGAAAAACAGGATGTTCCAGAGATCCATAACTTAGAGGACAGAACTAATATCTGAGTCAGACACAGTCATATTTCTTTATAGTTTCTCATAATGTTTTTAATGAAGCTTTAAAAAAAACCTTCATTTATACTGTAATATGGAAAAATAAGACCATAGAGATAAGAGAACTCAAAGTGTGATAGGAAGACCTTTGCAAGGGGGAGACAGAAATTTAGAAGGCAGAATTCATGAACTACTTCTGTAACCTTCTCAACAGAATATCCCCCACCCTCACACCCCAAGAATCTACCTAGTTCACCCCTTGCAGAATTTTATTCTTTCCTTTAGCAGCATTGTCCAAAAGAAATATAATGAAAATCACATATGTAATTTAAATTTTTCTAGTAGCCAAATTCTAAAGTTGTAGAAATAAAGAAGTAAAATTAATTTTAATAACATATTTTATTTAACTCAATATTTCTCAAATATTATATCTTACTTTGTAATTAGTGTAAAAATTATTAATGAGATACTTTACATCTTTTATAGTGAGTCTTTGAAATTCAGTATATATTTTAGACTTACAGCATAGCTGTATTCAGGCAACCCTATTTCAAGCATGCAATGCGTCCATACTGAACAGCACTGATTTAAGGTGTTAGTGCTATACACATTTGTATCACAGATAAATCATTATCAACTGGACCTTTACACAAACTGATAGTGAATCATGTTTGAAATATTAATTATATAGCATTTAAATTTGGAAAATTAATACCATTGAATTATAAATAAATGTCCTAGAAAAGAGAACTCAATAATTATTGAGTATTGCTACATGGTGAAACCAAGCAAGAAACCCCTAATGTGTTTTCTAGGGTTCCTGAAATATAAAGTCCATTTACATTGTAATGGCCCAGAGTAAGGAGTAAGTCTTCAGACTTTGGTTATGATAATGACCAACATGGACCATGAGTGAGGGCCATTTGACCTCTAAAACTCTCACTTAAAGGAAAGAAGGTTTTCATTTCAATATGTAAGATGTTTTGTAGCCTGGAAACTGCTGGTTGTGAGCTCAGAGACTCTAGGCTGAACAGTTCTAGACACCTGAAGAGGAATTTGATTATCTAAGGCCTCACCAATCAAGAATGCCCATGAGATGATCACGCCCTCTTGAACCAATCACTGAACTGATCATGTGCCTGGGACCTCTGCCCCTAATTTTGCCCTTAAAAACACATGTGGGGAACATCCTGGGGAGACTAGGTCTTTTCAGCATGAGCTGTCCACTCTCCTTGCTTTGCGCTTTGCAATAAAGCTGTACTTTCCTTCACCACACCATGTGCCTATGGCTTGGTTTTATAGCACTTGGGCGAGCGAACCTGATTTGAGTTGGGTAACAATGGCAGCTACTAAAATAGTCAATTCCATGTATTATCACATTTTTTGTTGTTGTTGTTTACAAGCCAGAAGGTACACATGCACTTACCAAAGAGAGAGAGAGAGACAGCGATAAGGGGAGGGCACTCCCAATGGGATGTAGTCATGCTAAAGTCCCTTCTCCCTTTCTCCATCTCGTGGGAGTTTGGGACATTCAATGCATACCTGCCCAGTGTGTTTTTCAAGGTGTAATGACTGGGATTTGAATCGCATAATCAGCCATGTGGGAATCCAGTTTCCTTAATCCCTGGGCCATAGGACTGATTGTACTGTTACATTTAATCTTTTCAAAAAACATCTAATGAAGAATCATGATGGAAATGGAAATAGTGAACTTGCGCAAGACATCCACTTTATCCTTCTTCAACTTTCCCTTCTGAAGGTCAGAGAGTAGTAAGCTATTAACTGTATTTCTTAGACTCCCTTGAAACTAGAGTTCTCAGCATGATTTAGGTACAACTAGTCAACAACACATGTGAGATCTGGAAACTGGAAGGGACAGAGGCTGCATATCGGCCATTTTTTGCCATTTTTACTGGCAAATACAGGGAGAAGTTTTTCAGCAGCAGTAAGATGCTATCATTCAGTCACTACCTCTGCATGTGGAAAAGCCCCTGGGTCCTGGGTATCTGGAAGACTGCAGCAGCTCAGAGCATATCAGGGTGACGCTGGAGGAAGCAGCAATAGTTGAAACAATGCGGAGTTGTTTCTTAATGCTCATTCTGGTCCAGTATATTCTGTCTTAGAGAACCCAGTGATTCTCTAAGACATCCCATAGAACATCATATTGATTTGCCATTATCAGTCATAGCATACTGATCAGGCAGGGTGAGGACAAGGTGGCCACAGTTGAGGGTTTGGTAAGACACACATACTACAGAAAGCAAAGAAAAAATATGAATATTTAAAAATTTGTCATGTCAGTTTTAGAGATTCAATCATCAGAGATATGAGACAGCATCGCTTTTTTTTTTTTTTTTTTTTTTTAGCATCGCTTTTAAAGTAACAAACAAATCGCTGCCTTTGCATCCCCTACCACAGAAAGAGAAAGCACAACACCTGGTAGGGAAGTTCCCTTTCATTCTTGGAGCTATACAATATAGACCTAGGTTTCATTCTCTGGCCTTCATATTAGATGAGAGACATTTTTTTTTTTTTAGAGGTTTTTGCTATAGGGCACATGCGCTTGTCAGAAAGACAGAGAGAGACAGAGAGACAGAAAGCAAGAAATCACCTCCCGAGGGGGTATGGCCACACCGCAATCCCTTCTCCTCCATTCTCCTCTCGGGATCTTGGGCATGCACGCACACGTGCCCGGCGTGAGTTTTAAGCCACCGGGTCCAGGACTCAAACTGCAGTCGACTACATGGGAGTCGAGCAACATAGCCATTACGCTAACTGCTGGTCCCAACATTAGATGAGAGACTTCTGATTTTGAGAATGTCATAGAACAGAAAATACTCTGGAACAGATCCATGCTGCAGTACAATCAGCTGTGTCACTTGTGACCTAGCAGACCTTATTCTGTGGAAGGTGTCATAGAAGGAAAAGATGCATTGTGGAATTTATGGAATGCACTAGAGGGAGACTCACAACACAGGTGCCTGATGTTCCAGAGCAAGGTCATGCCAGCTAGAGCAGAGATTCACACACGCTTGGGAAAATCAGCTCCATACAGGGACCTATAAGAGAATGTTTGACAATGATGAACACCAAGTAACCATGCATCTAGACATTTCTTTCATGAGCTGGATCCTATTTGACCCTCATAGTCATAAAATCGGGTAGACCCAGCAATAATCCATCGTAAGACCCAAATTGTACATTTAAATACCCCTTGGTAGTTCCTGGTCTATTATGATTATGAACAGACAAGTCTAGCAGCCTCTACCTGTGACAACTATGATTACCAGGGAGGTAGACATCTCAGGAATGAAGGCTTGAGTGACACTGCAAATTAATAAGCCACCTAGACCTTTAGAGGTGATAGTTGAGGGTGAGGGGATCTCAGAATTAATAGACGAGGAATGAAATTATTAATACTATTTGTGGCCCCGAGACCACTAACAATAATAAAGGTTATAGTTTTGCTCACTTACCTCCATCTTCTAGGTTTCTCTTTAGAAAGAGAGGTTCAATAGAATCCTTAAAGAGTTATTTCTCAGCCAGTAGGTGGCATGGTGGCTAAAGTGATGGATCCCACATGGCCAACTCCACAGTTCAAGTCCCAGACAGGTATCTTTAAAAACATGCTGGGCACATGGGGATACATGTCCTAAATCCTGAGAGGAGAATGGAGAAGGGACTCGACATGGCCATCCCCACTAGAGGGTACTCCGGCAACAGCATGTGCAAAGACCTTTTATAAAAAAAAGAAAAAGAAAAAGAAAAAGAAAAAGAAAAAGAAAAAGAAAAAGAAAAAGAAAAAGAAAAAGAAAAAGAAAGCAAGCAACTTCCTAAACATACATTGAGAGTAGATCTATGCCAAATAAGAGGCAGACTATGGCAGATATGGAGATATACCACTTAGATTCCCTCTTCAGGAAAGGATTTGTTACTTAAATATGAGAAATACAGATAGCCAAGAGCTTCAAAATGCTAACTCTGTCAGATTCACCTGGACTTTTGAGTCAATGTCACATTTTTGTGGACCTCTCCCAGCCAGTGACTAAACAAAGCTGTAGTTCAATGGCCCAGTTATTTCCACCAATACGTGTGATTCCTTTTTTAAGCAGTGATTTTTCTAGTGCTTCCACTGGGCTGGAAGATACTTTGTCAAATTTGTACTGTGGTCTGATCAGTAACTCCCTATCCTCACTTTCTCCTGTTTCCTTTCATAGGTGTTACTCCACAGTAAACCTTTTGCACTCCTTTCTGCAGCTCAAATTAGGTGGACTTGAATGAAACAAAGGTTACCTTTTTTATGAGGTTTACTTCTTAGTAGGGAAAAAGATCAATATATATAGCTATAAAAATACAGTGTGAAAACATGATTTATAATGAAACGATACAGGAGCAAGGGGAGAGTGAGTGATAGAAATGTATTATTAATGGGGTGGGTTTGTAAGACTACTCTAAAAAGTAGCCACATGAATAGAGTCCTAAATAAAGTACAACAATATGAAATACATAAATAAATATTTAAAGAGAGTACATTTTTCTCTTCTCCCACATGGGCCACAGTGACTTTGCCAAATTGCCAACTTTTGCCCTATTCATTCCATTCTTAGTGACCTGATATCCTATCTTCCCAGAAATTTGAAGGCATTTTGAATGGATTCCTTCAAATTTCTTCTCTTAACCTAAATTTCTATCTTCTTATTTCCCTTCCCATTCATTGCCTGTGACCCTCTCTTTGAAGAAGAGGAGTCTATTCTCATGGCCAACACTAATCTTTCCATTTGTAACTAAAGACAAGCAGTGTAGTAGTGCTCTCAACTGCCAAGAAAAAATTATGCATTTCTGCCTCCAGGGAACACTGCCATTTTCACAGAGTACGAATCAGAAACTGCTGATGCTTCATAAAATAAGACAGATGAATCTCAATGCCATATTGCAAAAGGACATGTTCAGTAGAGTGTTCATTAATTTATCATTTAGTGAGCACCTGCTTATGTGCCTGGTGCTAGCGGTAATAATAGAAAGATAACCAGGACCCCAGATCTTTGGCCAGCTGTCTCCTGCCAGAGGTTCTTAATAGGGCATATTCAGCACAGATGATACTCCAGGAAAAAGTGCACACATTCGTCCCCAAATAAAGTGTGGTGCGTTGATGTCCAGTGCTGGCTCCCACATGCTGCCTGAGATGTCCTTTGGTCAGGTTAATTTAGGTGTTGGCTTAAAGCCTTCAGGTAACTCTTTAGCTTTTTCCACTAGATCTACTCTAGGAATTTGGCCAACTGAGAGTTTTGTTTATTTTTTATTAAATATTAGGTCATCAGGAAAAACGTGACATATTTTTCTGTTTTTTTATTATTTTTTAAATGCAAAAATGTGTCATGACCTTTCTGACAACCCAGTAGTAAAAAGAGGGACAGAAAGATGATACTAAGAATAGGAACTTAGGTCTCCCTGAGGCTCAGAGTACAGTGACTCAAGGAGATCCCTCCAGGCTTTCTTCTGTGTCTTTCCCCAAGCTGTTGGTCTTTCCTTGTGCAAGGATGCTCGAAAGCCAGAGGGAGTAGGTGCTATTGCTGCTCCAGCTCGGACAAAAGAGAGAGAAGCAGCAGCAGAAATCCCAACTGACAACCTTCTAGATCAGACATCTGTGACCTATCTGATCTAACTATCGAAAGTTACACCTGCTTCTCTTCCTCTTCCCTCCTCAGCATCAACACTCAGTTATAACTCTCCAAAACTTTAGATTTTTTCCCCTAAAAATGATGACTTCTTCTGCTGTCAAGCATTTACCCTGCTTTTCATGACCTTTCAGAAAAATAATCATATAATAAATAATTGAGAAATTATTATAAATAAAGTCCAACATTTTCCATGCCCAAGTGCATCAGAATTTAAATTCAGTTAGTATTCTTGCCATTGTTATCTGTGAAAACCATGAAGGGTAGCCACCACACACAACTCTCAACCACTTAAGACTTGCAGCTCTGGATTTTTCCTCGCCCTCACAGTAACTTTGTCTTTATTTCTGAAATTATAATTTTCTGCCACTGTGAAGACAATGAAAACTTTGGGAACCATGGTGATGAACTCTTAGAAAACCTTATCCACTTTACAACAAGATGAATTACCCTCTTTCTCTCATCAAGATCATGTCTGCTGCTTGTTGAGAACCCAAATCCAGCACTATAAACTTTAAAACAGTTCTTTCAAGTGTATAAGAACATACAATTTGCAGTGTATGCCTAAGCATAATGTCTTCCCTGATCCTCAGGTAAACATTTTGAAGTGGGCTTAGCAGGAGCTGGTAACCCCGTTTTATAGAAGAGAACTAAGTGATACATGTTTGTGAATCAGCCAGCCTCCAAAGTCTTCTTACAGTGTACCTTCCTCTGCACCCAGTCCATGTGGTTTGATGCATCTTTGTTTGTGACCCCATCTCTGGTCAGAGTTAGTTGTAACAAGACAATGCATTGGATCCCAGCGGGATCACTCATTTCCCTCATTTATGAATCTGGAATAGGGACAGAAATAGAGATTGTGGAGTGAAAATGCAGAGCAGGAAAAAGAGATAGGAGAGACAGAAGTGGTAGGGGAAGATGAAAAGAAGCTGTTCACGTAGATGAAACTGAAACACTGAATTTGAGAGTTTTTGTCAGAAAAAAAAATAGCCACCTGGACAGTAAAAAAAATAATTGCATAGATTGCAGAGAGAAACAGTAATACAAAATTGAAAAAGAGTGCTAAAATTCCCCAATTCTATGATCTAATTTCCTTCTGAGGAATGGCTACATTCTTATCCTTGAGCTTTATGATACGCTGCTGTAACTTACAACGGATTTTTCTTTTCCTTGAGATAGGCCTAACTGATTTGTATATTTGCAAACAACATGAAGAAAAAAGATTTATTTAAAGTAATTAAGTTTATCGAAAATCACGTTGTCTGATTAAGAAAACTGGAAAGTTTAAAAAAAAAAAAACTGGAAAGTTAAAAACCGAAGCTCAGGTCTCTTAACGTCTAATCAATTAATTATGATAGACTATTTCATCCTAGAACATCTGTTTAGACGGAAAGGTAATGAGTATAGAAATGTCTGCATACTGAAGTCAGAAGATAGCTCCAAAATTGAAAATGTCAGGACGATTACAATAGGTTGAATATTGGTCCCAGAAAGATATTTCCACCTGGAACTTGTGAATGTGACCTTAGTTTTGTTTTTGTTTTTGTTTTTTTCTTTAAAAAAGTCTGTCAGATGTAATTAAGTTGAGGATCTTGCAGTGAGATCATCATAGATTTGGGTGGGCTTGAAATCTAATGACAAGTGTCCTTATAAGAAGAGAAACTGGGAGAAGACACACAGAGAAGTCGAAAGAAAAACACAGGCAAGACTGGAACAATGTGTTCGCAAGCCAGCACCAAGGATTGCTGGAAGCCACAAGGAGACAGAAGTGAGGCATGGAACAAACCAATCCTGTAGATGGCCCTGGTTTCACACTTCTGATCTCCAAAACTATTTCAAGTCATCAAGTTTCCGGTCATTTGTTATAGCATCCACAGGAAACTAATACAGTGATTAACAATATATTGGGTCATCAAAAAAGTCATGATATTATTTTTCTATGTTTTTCTTTGCAAAAGTACAATATGACTTTTCCACATGAGAAGGCTAGGAGTTACACTTGATTCTGTTTTGGTCAGCTAACCTTTATTTAACATTTATTAAATCCCAAAGAGAATCACCTGCCGAGGGCACAGAGATGAAGAGAAAACCTTCAACTGTAATTAGGTCACAATGTGTGAATCTGTGTTGGAGTTGAGCTGTTGAGGCCCAGGCTGCTAAAAAGTAATTATTATTCTTAAGTTTACTACTGTTTTTTATTATATTGGCAAAATTTATTGAGAAATGTTTTTTTTTTCTTTTCCTTCTGCTATGGACTCATTAGGAAAAATATAAAGTGTCTTCTTTTTCCCTTGCTTGTTTTTTTAAACAATATATTTTATTTTATTTTTATTTCTTTTATACATTCAATCACTATGCATCACTTAGCTTATAAAGTGAATTTT